TAGTTGCCATCGATCGATTTTGCAAAGCATGCAGACTAATTCTCCTGAAGGGGCTCCCTACGGCTTTTGTCACCGCCGAGTTGCTTATGGAACATGTCTTTCGCAATTTCGGTCTTCCAGAAGACATTGTATCCGACAAAGGACCCCAAATCATTTCCCGAGTTTGGTGAGCTTTCTTCACTCTCATGAATGTGACTGTAAGCCTATCTTCAGGGTACCATCCACAAACCAATGGTCAAACAGAGCGAAAGATCCAAGATGTAGGACGATTCTTGCGCACTTTCTGCCACTCCAATCAGAACATCTGGAGCCGTTATTTAATCTGGGCAGAATACGCACAAAACTCCCTCAGACAGTCATCCACGCAGCTAACCCCTTTTCAATGTGTACCTGGTTACCAACCCCCGTTATTCCCATGTTCCGGCGAACCATCAGAAGTACCAGCAGTGAACAAGTGGTTCCAAGAAAGCGAAAGAGTTTGGAATCAAACCCATCACCAGATTCAACAAGCTGTGAATCGTCAACAACACTTCGCTGATGCTCGTCGCCGTCAGAACCCAGAATATCAACCTGGACAGTTAGTCTGGCTTACCACGAAAGACATTCGGCTACGTCAACCTTGTCGCAAACTCAAACCCAAAGTACATCGGACCATTCCCCATTGTAAGACAAATCAACCCTGTCACCTATCAACTTCGTCTGCCCCCAGAATATCGGATCCATTCCATGTTTCACGTCTCCCTCTTGAAGCCACATCATCCACCCGTACCCAACTCAGTCACAGAACCGGCTCCAGAAGATAACCCCCCGGTACCACCTATTGAACCAGAGTCCATTTATTTGATAAAGGAGATATTGGACTCTCGACGTTGAGGGGGTCAACTGGAGTATCTTATAGACTGGGAGGGGTATGGACCAGAGGAAAGAAGTTGTATATCAAGGAGAGACGCCCTTGATCCCAGATTGCTCCTTGAATTCCAGGCTCAACATCCTGACAAACCTGCACCACGGCCCAGAGGTACACCCCCACGACGTTGAGCGCGGACTCTAGAGGGGGGGGGGGGTAATGTCAGGAGCCAATCAGAAGCCACAGCATTCACCACACAACGATCACTCTCCCCGGAATACTAATCACCCGCACCTGTTCACAATCAGCAAGCCTCATCAATCCCTGCATAAAAACACCCAGTTCACTCTCAGTCTTTGTCAAGCCTCCAACAGGAACAGACCATAACCCGTCTCCAAGAAACCCTCTGATTCATCCAGCACCAGTAAAGTAACGTAAACTCACCTGAAATTACTAACCTCTCTGTCCATGTTCTAATGTTCCCAGACTCCGCTCCATGATCCATGTTTCCTGAGTCTGTGTCCTCTCCCTGAGTCTTGTTTGCTTACGGATGTATCTGAAAGAGGAAAAGACAAGTATCATTGGACTATGTTAGTTTGATGTTGATTACACTGAAGAGGATCTGCTCACCTGAAATCCTTTTGATGAAGTGTCCTCCTCGAATTCACCTCTAAAAAACACTGCAACTCTATATACTCACCTTTGAACTTGTAAATAAAGATTTATGTTGATTCACTTACCTCTGTCTCCGGGCCTGTATCCTGACAACAGGGCTGAGATTATCACAAATAAACACAAGATTTCGACGCATATCCAATGTTTGTGCACAAAAAATAAATAACATTGACTTTTTGCCTTTATTAAACATTTAAAAACTTCACAAATTAATATGGAAAAAATAGGCTAGATTTTACTTTCTAAAAACTATATTTTGCCCGCAGTGCTAAATGAGAAGAGCATGTCTCGAGAACCATAGAGAGAGAAGATTTATAGGTGATTAATAGGCTAATCATAATAAATGTGTCTGAAAAATAACGATGGATTTTTATTGCTTAAATAAACAGTTTTCTAGTGTCGGGATAAACATATCTCCATCTCCGCTGTAAAGCGGATGCACCTTTAGAGAAATGCACCTTTCGGATTGTATAATCAGACGGTATTTGCTTTCGATTTGAATTTGTTTGTTTAAAAGTGTAAAACATGTAAAACTTTACATGTTTCAAGCTGTAGATAGGCTTTTGTTTCAGTTCATTTATGAGATGTGCTCCAGAGATCATGAAAGCGCGATTGTTTTATTTTATTATACAAATACACAACGTTTTCTTGTTATTGTGAGTTTACACAAATAAAAGTAGTTGCAAATAATGTATTATGTATAATGTATTTTTTCTGTATGACCAGAAATGCTAGATTATTTTAAATTGTTCCACTGTTGATAGGAACATGCAAGTGTTTGCGGCCGCGGCTTAGTGACATGCAGTGCGCGCTTCACACAAACGCTTGGATATGCGTTAACCCTTTAAGACCGAAGGGAGCGTCGGCGCTCCGGTTTGCGTGTGTCTGTTTAACAGCCTATAGAAACTGAAACCAAGTGGCTAGCTCAATCATTCTTTTTGCATACAAAACCAGAGATATAAAATGGTCAGATCAAGCCTCCAACATGGGCATGTTGCGTTGTTTTCACCCTCTAATGAGTCTGTACAAAATGCGCAAAATGCGTTTCTCAAAAAAATCACAAAAATGCATTGCACGTCTTTGCACACATGATCTGTAGATCTGCAATTGATAGTAACGCCTTCCGATGGCGCATTGAGGTATCACGTTCGGTGCACTATGGCAGATCAAGCCTCAACATGCTCATGTTGCGCGGTTTCCACCCTCTAATGAGTCTGTAATAATGCGTTTCCAAAAAAACACACAAAAATGCTTTGCACGTCTTTGCACACATGTTCTATAGATCTGCAATTGATGGTTGCGTCTTCCGATGATGGATCACGACATCACTTCCTGTGCACTTTGACCCCAGCTTGTGTCGCATGTAGTGACGTCAGAAGCTGCGTCTTTTGGCCATGCGTTTGACTGAATATAATAGGTTTGACTCGCACTTGACTCCCATCTGCTATATGTTCCATTTGCTTCATTACCATTGCTTCATTCTATCATTTCTTTCTCGTTTATACACTCGCAAATACAAGCACATTCACACACACACACAAACACACGTGCACGCATGCGCGCAACGTTATGTCAAAATGAAAGTACACGGACGCACCGAGTTCCGTCTGCTCATCGCCTTTATTTATTTATTTTATATTTATTTTATTATTAATTGTTCTGACAGGGTCTATTTAATTTATATTCTAACCAATTCAATGTTCAATCAATATTCAAAAGCAAAATGTTATCTGTTTGACCACAAATGTAATTGAATATTTTACATATGGCATATTAGTGTATCTTAAAAACTAATTGATGTAAACAGTTCAAATCAATTCTGTATAGTTTTAAACTATTTTATGCACATTTTTCTCATCGACAAGTTTGAGGTTTAAATTTATCATTTTTTGTATTGAATAAAATATGTAGAATTGTTTTTTTTTAAATTGTTGTTTTTTTGTTTTTTGTTTATTGCAAAAAAATGTTTTTGTTTGTTTTTGTTTATTGCATTTTTAAAAAAAATATTTATCTTGGTACTATTGATTTATTACAAACATAGACTTCAAATAGATGGCATATGAAAATGCTCAAAAGAATGACAGCACAGCATGTAAAAATAGAAAGATATACTCTGGTGGAACTGTTCTATGGCAGGTCATAAAGGGTTAAAAACCTGTTTGTTTGTTTGTTATAATCTTAGCCCATTATTATTGTCTAAGACTGACATTTGACGAATTGCTTTGTTCTTTTTTTTTTGTGGATAAAAGCGTCTTCTAAATAGGCCTATGTAGCCTAAATGGAAGTGGAAGTGGAAGGGCGGCACTGGAGAAGTGTGTGAGTGGGAGGCAGAGCGGCAGAGAGATGCAACAGAGTTGTGAAATTGCTGGTGTGGCTCAAAATGGCCGTTATTTCAAATAGCGTAGCATATTTTAAACCAATCGGTTTCAACCGGCTAATGAGGCTCGGTGGTCGATCAAGAAAATGTTTAGTTTTCGCCATCCCTAAAAGCAGACAGTTTGTTTGCAAAATGCTGGATTTGTTTGTTTACTATTGGCTATTGCTATTGTTAATTGATCGGTTACCTTGACTGAGGTGGAAGAGACAAACTGCTGGATCCATGTTGGCGAAGTCTTCTGTTATGAACTGCCAAGACTTGGAGATGAAGATCCAAATGCAGCTTTATTTAAGCATAGTCATACAGGTAGGGTCGAGAATCAGCAGACAGGACAATTGAGAATAAACAGTGGGAATCCAAGAAACAGGCAGAGGTCAGGGCAGGCAGCAATAATCAGAATCAAAAACAATCCAAAGTCAAAAAAACAGAAAACAAACACGGAAAACGCTCAGAAATGCAGACACACAGTACAACAAGACTTGAGCAAATGAACGAACATGGTATAAATAGACAGACTAACAGGATGAGACAGGTGAATGCAATCAGTGAATGAGGTACAGGTGAATGTGATCAGTGATGGTGAGTCCGGCCAGTGAGTTATGGGAAATGTAGTTTGTGAGTGATAATAGTCTTATCTGGAGTGCCCTCTGCTGGCTCAAAAGGGTACTCCAGCTGGTGACCGTTACAAGAACAATGATCAAAACATAGATGGAGTTGATTGAGTCCATGAACACCGCCAAAGCTTGCATATCCCTTGACATTTCATTCAGTAATATAACGTTAAGCATATAAACAGCATATAAATACGTTGATTTATATGCTGTTTAATGTTTAATGATCATACTAGCGTACATATGCGACAATGTTTCTATCACTATTTTGGATCTGGAGATTCTGTACTATTTCAGAAGATGCATAATAGCTTCCCCTACCATATAACAGTGAAAACATGGATTGCCAGAAAATTCTGTCAATGCCGGAGAAACAGTTTAAAGGCATTTATCATTTGTTCTGGATATCACTATTTCAATTGCCATCTCTTGTTGCCAATTGTACTTGAAACCAAATCTCTAATACCCATTGTCCCTCTTCTAATTTCAGTATTTTGTCCTATTGCTGTGTGTTTTCCTGTTGGAAATCCTTGCTGGAGTTTTGGCCTACATTTATTACCAGCAGGTCAGTTACTCCTTTCGTTCATTCATTGTTTGCTATGCATTTGTGTCTTTCAATGTTACAATTTGTGAATGTTGTAGCTGAATGAGGAACTGAAGGAGAACCTGAGAGAGACTATGGTTCAGAAATATCATCAGCCTGAGCAGGAACATGTGACAAAGGCTGTGGACAAACTACAGCAGGAGGTGGGACAACTAGCTGTTTGCTAAAATGCATTTGTTATTTACTTGAGTAGTTTGGGGCTAATGATTGCTTCTCCCTCTTGTCAGTTCAAGTGCTGTGGCAGTAACAACTCCTCCGATTGGGCGGAGAGTGTTTGGATCCGCTCTGGTGATGCTCAGCGACGGGCTGTCCCTGACAGTTGCTGTAAGAGCCCAGTCATACAGCTCTGTGGTCAAAGAGACCACCCCTCAAACATCTATAAAGTTGAGGTTAGTGTACTGCAAAGGAAATTCTTGCACTGAACAAGAGCTGAAATGTTTTCTTATGCTTCTATTGGATAATATAGGCCATTTCACACGTTTTATTGTACAATTGCAGAATTAACATTCCCAATAAAGATTCCACTCAGAGACTTTCTGTGTTCATACATTATGTGTAGCGACCACTCATATATCAATCTGTAAAAAAATATTGAATATTTCCTAAATAGTGTTATTAGACTTACGTAGATGATTTGAGGAGCTGAGGAGAAGCTGAAAAACAATGAGATTAGAGAATATTGCTTAGGGTTAGAAGAATGTGTTAGAAAGATGTTGTATGAATTAATCTGTAAAGAAATATGGACCAAGTTGAGTTTATAAATATTACAAATATATTATGCTGACAAAAAAGTAACCTTCCAAATCAATAGGAGTATAAATAAAGCTTCAATGCTTCTGGGCCACCGTGTTGGACAGTTATCTCTCCACTGTCATAAGGAAAGGAACTGGGAGCCCCATTTCTAAAACGAGATTTGATCTTAGAGTGTCTGTACGCTGACATCCATGCCTGTGTTCATATCTATAAAAATGTCTTTAATGTGGAAAAGTGCTTAGTGCCTTAGTGCTTAGGTATTTTGAAAACTAAGCAATTCTTGCCACTTGCCATTCTCAATTAAATGATTTTGATGCCAACACTTTTACAAAGTGGATGTCAGAAACCATTCAGCTGTGCACAAATTCAAGATAACTTGTGATTTTATAAATTTCACTTCTGGAATAGTTCGTTCTCTTAATCACACCTACGCACATTTGAGAAATGATTGTAAGATCAAATGCAGGATGGTTTCTATGCAACATTTTATAAATGAGGCCCTTGAAGAAGGAAACATTCACATGTACCACAAAATTTGCGTAGTCAGCAGGGTCTTTATACTTAAAAGTACACCCAAGAGTTGACTGTCCCACTCAAAGAATCTGATAGCTGGCGAAGAAAGTTTGCATTTGGAACTCAGGGGCACTTGCAATTATAGGAGTCTGGAACTCCACGGCGGTTGATTGGATAAAGCAATTATATAATGGCTAGATATGAATTGGAAAAGTGAAGCAAGAGATGTGAAGAAACAGACAAAGCTACAAATAAAGCTCCAATGGAAATGGTTAAGAAAGCAAGAACAGGAGAATAAGGATTCTATAACAAAACGGGACAACGAAAGAGGAAAAGAAACATTTCCCTCTCCACCTCCTTATCATGCAGTATTAGAATCTGCATCTGCCTCTAACAGGCATTTTGCCTATTAGAAATACATGGTCTGTTTTAATGTTATTTTAAGGTGGGGTTGAATTAAATGAATGGAAAAACTCAATCTTTTATTGAATTTTTTATTTTAATCGGGCAACAGACCTTATCTGGAAAAAACAAAGGTAACACTTTATAATAACTGCACACTATTAATCATTAGTTAAGCATGAGTAAACAGTTAATTCATCATTTATAAAACATTAATAGACATTAATATGCAGTTTATAAATACAGCTATACATGATTTTTCTTGATTTATAAGCATATCTATAATGCGTTTAATGATTGTATTTTCATACTTTGTTAATGATCAATTAATAATTTCTAAATGAAGTATAGCATTATTTACAAACCAGTTGTTTAAGAGTTGTCAGTCATTCATAAGATCACTTAGAAAGTGTAAGTAAATGTAGTAAATACAGGTAGTTATAAAGCATTTAGTAGTGGTTAGTTAACTATTTTTGTGACCTAATCTAAAGTGAGGACTATTCATGCTTTGTAAAGCATTTATAAAGGTGATTTAAAGACTCGTCAATCTTCTAAACAGTAAAATGTAACAAACACAACGCAGTGATACAGAACATAGAAATATTTAACAGCATTTAAAAATGCTTTACAAGGCATGACTAGTCCTCACTTTAGATGAGCTCACAAACATAGTTAACTGACCACTACTAAATGCTTTATAACTACCCAAATTAACCCTTAATTACAGCATTAATACATGTTAGTAAAGCATTTATTAACACATTAAGTTACCATCACTATATGTCTGAATAATAAGATGTATGAATGTACATTTAAATAGTTTATTAATCATTTACTTACTCGCTCTAAGTAATCGTATGAACCACTGAAAACTCTTAAATAACTGGTTAATAAAAAATGCAATTCTTCATTTAGAAATGATAAATTGATCATTAATAAAGGATGAAAATACAATTATTAAACAAATTATAGATATGCTTTTAAATCAAGAAGAAAGCATTTATAGCTGTATTTATGAACTGCTTATTAATGTCTATTAATGCTTTATGAATGAAGAATTAATGGTTTACTCATGCTTAACTAATGATTATTAGCGTGTAGTTATTATAAAGTGTTACCAAAACAACTCTTAAACGTACAGTATGAAATTTTTGGCCACAGGGGTCACTCATTTAAAATAATAACAAAAGACGTACTTTGATGACGTCGGGAAAGAGCGTGGGCTCACGGGAGTTGTTGTAGCTGTCAATGACAACCAGCTCTGCTCATGGCACGACATCATCGTTTCACAAAATATACGGATATACGGCATCTCTCTGTAGATTTAGCTTGTCGAGAAGCTTTAAATGCAACCCCAATGTTTACCTGTGTCATGCTTCTCCTGTCCCAAACCCTTCTCGGGTCATATTTTTCAGGTACGTTTGTTTGAGCTTTAGCTAATGAGCTGGCTGTAGCAGCAGAACGTGCAGGCAAAGCGTAATCGTGGCCCATAACTATAATACAGACCGCAGTAGACGAATATAAATATTTATATTACGCTCCTTCAATGAATGACCTATTTTAGAACATTTTTCATTTATAGGGCGCACCGGATTATAAAGCACATACTGCTTAGATACTATAAAGATACTGCAGTCAAACGTTTGACTGGGTTTGCGTTATGCATCCACTATGTGCTACAGGCTAAAGGGAATATAGTGAGTGCGCGGCGCCGGAGGTGAGGCGTTTATTTAGTAAGCATGAGAGAGCTGAAGCGGGCACGTACATTCGCAGCCTGACTCATAAGAGTATTCAATGTGCGCGGCTCGCTAACAGCAACAGTTGGCTGATTTGAATGAGACGAACCGGTTACTGTGAACGGGGAGCGCTTTATGCGCGAGCAGCACCGGGGACAGTGTGTCTGTTAAGAGTGAGCGCTCGTGAGCGGGCACGTGATTTACACACATAAAAATACGTACTGCTTTTTTTTCTTCGTCATTTTCTTTGCTTTATTGACGGTAGTCCAGTGTTCCCCTTTGTGTTTGACGGTTTTTCGCCTGGTTCCGCAAGGAAGTTAGAGAAAATAGAGGAGTCAAAGGTTATATGACGGCATAGACGGGCGACGAAATGGAAATAGGAAAACGTCCCGTGTCTTCGAATTAAACTATAAATTTCTCCGTATTTGAAAGTTGGTGGAAACTGTCGGGATAATGTAAGTACACATCTAATAGAAATATATAACATAGATACAGTTATTTTTGCTATTTTTAAAGCAGAAAAAATACATATTGTGGCTTTAACCACAGCTACTTGTCAAATTTTAGTTCCGGGTCAAACACAACTCTCAGATTACTTATTTGGTCACGCCAATAGAGGGAATGCGCGTGACGTCACTGTCGGCCGGCGTGCCTGCAGTTCCTCACAGTGAGTGGCAAAAAGACTGAGCGGCTGTATATGTGTTCAGCGTGAATACCGCGAAAAACAAACACAACACACACAAATAAAGTGGGAAAGAGCTTTGCGATTGACTGTAGGCGTACAACTAGATTTGACAAAACATCGGAGGTATATTTTTACAGACTGCTATGGAAAGAGGAGCAAATGGATCGCTGCAATTCACAGAAACAACTGGACTCCAGTCAGCCAAAGGTGGATTTGCAGTTATCATTTTGTGTCAATATGCTGAATTTAGCTGTAAAACCATACCCGTATATTTTGTATTGTTGTATACATTAACAGCTCATCAATTAAATATTTATCATTGCATATTTTGCATTATTGGATGTTTTTTTAATAAACACTGACCAAAAAACGTATAAAGTTTTAGAGCTGGACGATATGATATATATAGGATATAACACTGATATAAGTGATCACCCGGATTTAGACCTACCTATATTATATTTATATAAAGCGTTCACAGGCAAATTTGCTTTATGTTTAGGTCTTGCTTTTATTTCCCCGGTGTCGAAATCAGGCAATAAATGTCAGGCAACACGATTCCTGACTGCATGTCAATATCCATGGATCACTGGATCTTTAGTAAGTTGTAAGTAACACTATATTGAGTCCAACATTTAGTTTAAATTGATAAAATTGTTCGATTTAGTCGCATTTCCGAAGTTTTCCCCTATTGAATCCAGTCACGCAGCAGATCTTTTGCCACTCGGTCAGGCTAAGAGGGGTTGTCACGCGGGAAAGTCACGTGTCAATGCATTCCCTCTATAGACAAACCCTTGACCTAAATAAGTAACACTATCTGTGCATCCTCTGGCAGGACCAGAAATCATAATCTATGTTTTTTTCTTGGTTTAACTGAACAAAATTGTGATCCATCCAGCTCTCAACGTCTTCCAGACATGCCAGAAGTGACTTAAAAACACATTCTACAATGCATTGTACTCTCCTGATTTCAAAGTGAGATAAATTTGTGTATCATCGACATAAAAATCAGGCCAAGAGACATCACACACAAAGAAAATTAAATTTGGCCAATAACAGAACCCTGGAAAACCCCACAAGTAATAGGTGATTACAAGTGGTTGATGGAGGAAAAGTCACCAAAACAACCTGTTCTCAAGAATAAAACCACTTTCCTCACTTTCTACCATGCTAATAAATAGTACTTTTATTACGGGTATTAATATTCGCTGTAGAGTTGCTAGTTATTGCTTGTTTAATTGAGCGCTAGACGATTCATTTGATAAAGTGAACAGTGATTTTGTCCAAATTCCCTATGAATAGAATGAATTCTCTTTGAGATAAATTTACACAGAGAAGGGATTAATTGCACTCACATCAAAATAACTGTTCCCGGATTTAAATGTAGTGCTAATTTCTGATGTTAAAATTGTTAACTTTGTTAAGACACAACCATATTTTCTCTGCTATTTTATCTAAAAAAAAGTTGTTTATTATTGTGTTAAAATACTTGTTTTACTACTTGAAATATGGTTGACTTTTTGTTTTGGATTTTCATCTTTTTTTTTTTCAGGGTGGCTGCATCTCAAAGCTGGGGAACTTCATTCTGAATCACTTGCAGATCATTGGTGCGGTGGGAGTGGGCATAGCCTGTGTGCAGGTCAGCTGAAGCACTGCAAAGTGTAGAGGACACATATACTGTAGCTGAACACTTGCACTTTAGCCACCCTTAAAATTGTATCATGATCTTGTTTAAATACTAAAACCGAATGCATAATACAAACTTTTTTTTTATGACCACTTTTACCATGATTGAGAGGTCAAAGTCCTGTCACCCCTGATTGACATGGCAGGATGTGTCAAACATGTATTGGTCGGATGTGAATTTCTGTGCCTATCCCAATAATCACACTTGCACTTTTCTACTTGCATGACGTATTTCAATGAAACTTCAATTTGAAATTTCAAATGAAACTTTGAAATGCCTGTTCAGAAGTTCCTATGTAACAAAAGACAATTTATGAACCCTCTAGAGTCAGAAAAGGCACATTTTACACACACTGTATAGAGCGCAATCCCTTTATTCCTGATAAAGTGGAAACCTCTTAATGTGGGCACACCCACGAGTAGTGTGGACTATTCATACGGTAATTATCAGTGTGAGCATGCAAACATGCAGAACAATAAGCCTCGAGGAAATTTACCTCAGAAGAAGAATGCGACCTGACACTGCTTGATCCAACGGAGGATATCATTTCTGAAGAGTAAGTAACTTGTTCTTAGTTACATTAATGTATTATTTTTATATTAGTATTTGCTCTTTTTACAAGTTGGGCTTTCCTTAAACTATATTGCCTGACTTAAATGTTTGAAATCAAATAAAACAGGTTGAAATCTGAAATATAGACAGAAATATGCAACTTTTCATTACATTTTAAATGTCGAGGGCTGTCAATATCTTCAAATTTTTTTTGCAATTAATCACATATTTGTCGTGAAATTAAGCATACATAATTTATCTTGTTTAACAAATTAATTTTGTCATTACAATTCAGTATTTTTTGCAAGCTTTTTTCAAGGCAAATGTAGGTGTCTTTCCAAAAAGGTTACTTGGAGTAGGGGTCGACCGATTATCGGCCTGGCCGATTATCGGCGCAATTTTAAGCATTTTTATGGTTATCGGTATCGGACATTTTCAAATCCGATTTGCCGATAAAATAATTTTATTTTGAAATGCGCTATTTTTGGCTCTAACGCAGCCACCTCTGTCGTAACTCACCACTCTGTAGACTAGACTTATGTCCCCGCACATCTGATTTGTTTGGAGTCACGAGTCCGGCCGAAAGTTTTGCACTCTCACACCGAGAGCACTCGCTGACTGGAGCTGCTTCACTGATCACGCATCAGTTGTCTCTCAAAGGCATCAGTTGTCTCTCAAAGTTAAGGCAGCAGCAGATTTTGCTGAAGAAGCATTGCAATACACTGAAGTTGCAAAATACCTCAATATAATACAGCCCTGTGATTTCCGCAATGTAGTAAACAGACGGAATCGCGGACTCCAGTCATAAATACTTAATTTACTGTATAAAGCGGAATAAAAAAAGCAGTATAAAGCAGGTCAGTACAAATCAAACCGCAAAAAGACTATTTAAATATTAATCCTGCGTGTCTCTAAATGAATGGCGCTGACGCGTGATTTCATTTACCACACACACACACACATAACACACACTGGAGCACGCGTGACGCTTGCGCTGTTTTCAGCCTCATCCGGATCATTATATGAGGACATGATTGCATAAACAACATCTCCAGAGTCGCTCGCTTAGTCACTTCATAAGCTTTTTAATGCTTCAACTGAGAAAAGTTATCATCACATCATAGACAAACAGAAACTCAAAGATCTCCACGGCTACCCGTCAAAATAAAAGTTCGGTCTTTCACAAAGCCCTAAAAATTTAATTTTTGTTAAACTGTAAATAATTTGAATAAATTTAATGATTTTAATTAATTAGAAATGCTTTTTGATTACTAAAATTTAATTTAAACATTAAAATAGAGTCTTTAAGTTTTACAAAATGTTTACAGAATGCTGCTGGGTGCTCCCTGCACTTTGTTATTATTATTATTATTATTAACAGTTCTCATATTCAAAGATATGTTTAAAATCATTTAAAGAAAGTATTTGTCAGAACTTAATTTTGACATTAATTTAATATATATATATATATATATATATATATATATCGGTTCAAAATATCGGTTATCTGTCTATTTGATCTGTAATAATCGGTATCGGCATCGGCCCTGAAAATCACATAGCGGTCAACCCCTAACTTGGAGACTCCAAAATGACTCCTTATAACCAAATGATATAAAGAGTCCATATAATACATAAATATATGCACCCTAAAGCACAGACGAAAAAAACATTACAGAACAGAACTTTTCAGAATTTACAGTGCACAGTACCACAGTGACACATGGAGATGCCTAAGAGAAGCTAAACCATTCAAACTCAATCTTGACCTGACTGCACATGCCTAGTACAGTTCACAAATCAAGTCAAATCAAGTATACTTATATAGCCCTTTTCACAAAATTCATGCATCAAAATCAAGTCAAATCAAGTATACTTATATAGCACTTTTCACAAAATTCATGCATCAAAACAGCTTCACTGTATCAATCAAAACATAATAACAATGTTTGTTTCTTAGTGGAAAAACATCCACGTTTGGTAGAGCTGATCAAGGGTATTATTGATTGGTTAATTAATTTGAATATCCCCAACTGAGCAAGCCAAAGGCAACAGTGGCAAGGAACTGAAAAACTCCATCAAGTGACCTAATGGTGACCTAAAACTCCAATGGAGGAAAAAAAAAAACCTTGGGAGAACCCAGGCTCAGTCGGCGGCCAGTTCTCCTCTGGCGTTTATGAACTAGAGGCCGGATTTACAGTAACTGTAAGGTAAAAATGTATATGAATGTCTCTAAACAGACTTTAAACACGAACATGCTAGTGGCGTTTACATGCGCATATCAAATTTATAGACGAGTAGTTTATCACTTCGAGGAAGGGACGTGAAGGAAAACAAATTTATTAAATATTTCATAAAGGTTTAACCTTTTAACCTAACCTTTGGCCACTTTTCTAGGTACAGCTGGGCCTTTTGTCTCTATGATGACAAATTGATTGGATCACCACCAATGCCTGACGCTGTCATCCTGATGAACTCAAGTAACCAGCTGAGTCATTTATATGCATTGTTCAGAATAACAACTCCTCTATGTTACTCCTCCCCCTTGTAAAGTATATAATACAGTTCTGTATTTTAGTTAGTCAGACGATGTTGGAATGACTGCAGCTACCAGCAATAAAGAACTTCTGCTTGGAAAACGTCCATTGTCTCCTGGTCTCCTCAGCTTCTAATTTTTCTGCAAGGAAAAATTTCCCCACAGACGCAAAAAAAACTAATTCACAATGCTTTATCTGTAGAGTGGGAAAGGGATCCTCCATAGGGAGAGGCTAGCTGGCACTTCAGCACTGCATTGTCATCGTCATGGGATCCAGGCTAAGGTCCTCGTCAGTTCTGGAAATGGCCTGGATCCGTCAGGCTGCAGGAAAACCTCAGGATAAACAAAGACACTCAAATTAGCGTATATGCCATTCTTCTTATGAACATCAATTACATTTTTAACTTGAGGTTTTTTGGATTTCCAAATTCGGGGAACAGACACAGTCTCTATATGGTATCTAGGTGAAAGAGCTTCTATGTGATGGTATTTAGTCTTGTGACTAGCAGCCTTGTGAGAAGCGAAAATGAGCGAGAACGAGCGAGAAACACAAACTACTTTATGGCAACTTGACATAATTCTATGATACTGTGTATGATTTATTATCCATTTAACAGAAGTACATGAGCAGCGCTGCAGCGGGAGGAAGGCGCTGTAAATGAGTTTCTTTATGACAGTGTTGTGAAATATAACTACGCCGCACAGATGTAGGGGGTGCTGATGAGAACACATGCCACAACAAAAGTGGAAATCAGCGAAGATAAAACTAGAGTTGCGAAGTCCCCCTTTAAGGATGTTGAATTGAACACATTTGTTAACGCATTGACCTTGACAGCCCTAATATGTTATGATATACACTCACCTAAAGGATTATTAGGAATATCATACTAATACTGTGTTTGACCCCCTTTTGCCTTCAGAACTGCCTTAACTCTACGTGGCATTGATTCAAAAAGGTGCTGAAAGCATTCTTTAGAAATGTTGGCCCATATTGATAGGAAAGCATCTTGCAGTTGATGGAGATTTGTGGGATGCACATCCAGGGGAACAAAGCTCCCGTTCCACCACATCCCAAAGATGCTCTATTTGGTTGAGATCTGGTGACTGTGGGGGGCATTTTAGTTCAGTGAACGCATTGTCATGTTCAAGAAACCAATTTAAAATTATTCAAGCTTTGTGACATGGTGCATTATCCTGCTGGAAGTGGCCATCAGAGGATGGGTACATGGTGGCCATAAAGGGATGAACATGGTCAGAAACAATCCTCAGTTAGGCCATGGCATTTAAACAATGCCCAATTGGCCCTAAAGTGTGCCAAGAAAACATCCCCACACCATTACAACACCAACCTGCACAGTGGTATCCATGATGGATTCTTGTTCTCATTCTGTTCATGCCAAACTCTAACTCTATCTGAATGTCTCAACAGAAATCGAGACTCATCAGACCAGGCAACATTTTTCCAGTCTTCAACTGTCCAATTTTGGCGAGCTCTTTCAAATTGTAGCCTCTTTTTCTGTAGTGGAAATGAGTGGTACCCGGTGTGGTGTCTTCTGCTGTTGTAGCCAATCCACCTCAAGGTTGTGCGTGTTGTGGCTTCACAAATGCTTTGCTGCATACCTTGGTTGTAACGAGTGGTTATTTCAGTCAAAGTTGCTCTTCTATCAGCTTGAATCAGTCGGCCTATTCTCCTCTGACATCTTGCATCAAGAAGGCATTTTCGCCCACATGACTGCTGCATACTGGATGTTTTTCCCTTTTCACACCATTCTTTGTAAACACTAGAAATGGTTGTGCGTGAAAGTCCCAGTAACTGAGCAGTTTGTGAAATACTCAGACTGGCCCGCCTGGCACCAACAAACCATGCCACGCTCAAAATGGCTTAAATCACCTTTCTTTCCCATTCTGACATTCAGTTTGGAATTCAGGAGATTGTCTTGACCAGGACCACACCCCTAAATGCATTGCAGCAACTGCCATGTGATTGGTTGATTAGATAATTGCATTAATGGGAAATTAAACAGGTGTCCCTAATAATCCTTTAGGTGAGTGTATAATATGACATAAAACATGAAAAGTAATTTTTCCACTGTAATATGATGAATGTTAAAATATGTTTAGACTAGTGTATACTATCAAATTTGCAAATATCTTCTCAAATATAGATATTTAACATGTGCTAAACAATAATATAGTTTTCTTAAATATAGCTGTTCTTGTAATCAGAATACTCTCAGTTTGCTCTTTTTTAGAGTGACCAGATACCTGCACTACAGCTGGTCTGCTGACTGTTTAAGCGGTTTTCCTTTGAGAGCACTGTTCTAACTTTCAGGCTGTTAGGGCAATTGGCTGGGGTCACAAATACAACAGTACAGATGTCAGAATCAGCTTTCTGTACTGCTACTTTGGACTGTTTTTCTACTTGAGCATGGTAAAGGTGAGCTTGATCACTGATTTCTAATGGTGGGGCAGTTTTTTCTTCTGCGCAAGAAGCAAAAAACACCAGGAATGCCACAAGGAATGGCATAAAGTTTAGTGGCTGTTAACAAGAGTGTACCAGCAACTACTGAATTATTCCTAGTAATACTTTTGATCAAACGATTAAAATATATTTATGTAACCACTGTTTTGGCCACATCTGAAATTAGTCTCTCAAGTGTCTCTCAAGTGTCACGCATTGACAGTCACTCATTCGGGTATTTTGTCACGCACTACCACCTCACATTGTAATTTCTCACGTGGAAAATCTATTAATAATATATTTAATATGCCACAGCGGCCAAAATTTCTCTGCCCAGCGTCGTTCTCACTATGGAAACGGCAGGAATCAAGCACGTCTCCCTCGGAGTTCTTAGTCAAGCCTGCCACTTATCAGCCAATCAAAAAAAAGAAAGGGGCTACACAATAGCCAATCAGAAAATAGTACTATTGTATCTGGGTAAGAGTCAAGATAAGCCATGATTTCCTGTTTTAATGTTACAAAAAATTGACAGAAACAATGACAGCTTGACTGCTGTTTGAGAATTATCCCCAGATAATTAGCATCAGTTTTTCATGAGCGTCTGTAACTTAGCCAACAGTTTTACAGCCTGTTCACTGACAACACCTGCTCAGTACAAGTCATATTTTCGTTATCACACTGACTGACATATTGTCACATTATAAACATCTCTCTCTCCAAATAGGCTTAATAATTTTATTAGCATTAAATAAATTAAAGTATAATTTAATTTAATTGCAAAGTCGATGTTAAAGGTCACTTTTAAAATCATGTTGTATTTTATAATTATATCCTGGCCATGGATGCATTAATCAGTGCATCCGTCTTTCAAAGATGTCAGGTAAAACACAAGCATCCTCTCATTTGCCCTGAGAGGAAACCCCCCTAAAAAGGCCAGGCTAGAGGATGCTGGCCCAGAGAAGGTGGCAAAAGGGGTAGTGGGCCCGTTAGAGGAGGAGACGGTGAAATATGTTAGAAAACTGTGCTCTTTCAAGGACTGGCATTTAGTGCATGGACAGAGTAAGGCAAGTGTCTGAATCAGAGCCTACATACACAGTTAAGCTTAATGATAAAAGTTTACCCGCTTTAAAATAAAGTGATGTTCAGTGTCATCAAGAGCACTATGACCCACAACAAAAACCAAAAAGCAATGTTAATTCTCAGTAAGTGCTGTATATACATTATGGATATTTACTCTCAATGATGTCGATGATTACACTATAGACAGGCAAATAAAGGCAACAAGGCAGTTTAAGAGAGACTTAACTTTACTCTAACTTATAACATGATATAATTGATTTGGCTTTATCTAATAATTGTTAGATTTATGTTGGTGTAGAAATGAGTGTGTATTTTGCAAAATGTTTGCAACTGTATTTTATCAATTATTTGAAGCACCGCAATTAATAAATCATCCTTTGTTACATAGGAACTTGTAAACAGACATTTAGAGATTTATTTTAAAATGCAAAGTATTGAAAATCAAAATGTAAGAATAAAGCTCAGTTAAAATAATTCAGTACTTGCATTTTTACAAATATATGCAGGTAGCTGGAAGCTGTTTTATGCAAGGGGGGCTGAGGGCTGGGTTGGAAAATATGTGACGTCATTATGTTGTGGCTAATGACAAGACATGACATTTCTCTGTACTGTATGTGTTGTAGCCGTTAAAGAAAACATATATTTAGTTTCATATGTATGTTTAAATATTATTGGCAAATTTTTATTTTTTTTATTTAATGTTGATAATGAAAATGAGCATGCAGCATGAGAAAGATATGATATATCATGAGATGCGCAATATGTCTGACATGGGGTGGACATGATTTTGTCCACTTCATTGAGTTTTGTTTTGTAGAAAGACTCTTTTTAAAATATTTTCGTTTTGTATAAATTGTATCTAAATTTTGATCAATGTTTTATCAACTTGCATTGCACTTGAACTGTATGTTGACTGAAACTCAGCTTGTGTCTCACAGATTTGAGAAAAAATAGGCTATCTATTATAGAAAGCTTGACATGTCCACTTTTAAACAAAACTATTCAAAAACGTAAAGAAATAGGCTATTCTTTGATTATGTAGCTAATCCATATGAAATGTGCATTTCTCTCTGGGGTTCATGGCGAGACTGCATCTTCAACTTCATATCTTTTAATCTTTAATCCTCATATCAAACACAGTATGTTATGTGTTATGTTTATTTTAATTAATTTGTTTTATTTCATGTTTTTAAGTACAATATTATGTTAGTCTCAGCCCCTATCAGGGTATGTATGTAGGCAATGTGAATGTATGTAGTGTGTCCCATCGGGTAATCAAAAGCCCTACACACACTTGCAGTCAAAATACAGGAAATTCGACATGCAAGTAGACAAGTGATCTATGAGTATGAGTATTGGTGACAGTTCCTATGAAGTATGAGTATTGGAGACAGTTCCATAAATGCATGGCCACATCCTGCCATGTCACTCAGGGGCGACAGGATCCTAATGACCTGCAATCTACAGGGAGTGACAGGGGTCATAAATAAAGAGCCATAATTCATCAATTTGACACATGGTAAATAGTGAGTAGTTCTATCCTGTGATTTTTTTTATTTTTTGTCACTACATTATGTATAGTATGATATTATGTGGAATTGTATGCATATCATGCTTATCCTCTGATACATTCTTTCAGATTTTCGGCATGTTTTTCACCTGCTGCCTGTACAGGAGTCTGAAAGCAGAGCCATACTGAAGAGACACAGCTCAACTACTGCATTAATCAATGAACATCATCCTCCATGCCATTTTTGTTTCACAAATTTTAAAGGTGAAGTATGTTTCTGGGACACTATAGTGGCATCTAATGGAAATGTCCTTTCGCGTGTCGTGCCTCCCCTAACTCAAACATGACAAATACATCTCTTATGGGTTCTCATGAAGGCATGTCTCAACAGGTAATACTAAGCTATTTTTAATAAAAGCACAAATTAGGAATACTTTTAGCTGTTTTGCTATGTGTCAAAAGTAAGCAATGAGTAGACTGCATCCAACATAGCTGCAATAGGCGCGTTTTTTTGACATGCCACACCACGACTGTTTGTGGCGGTCTACATTGGATACATGAAAGTAAACATAAACTGGTGCATTTGTGTTTTTGAACGGGTGGATGATAATCCTGTATGGTACTGAAGCTTTCATTGTTGCATTTTATATCTCAGCACCCCTTGGCTTTGACCTTTTCATGACCTGTTTAATCTTTGAACATCTAAATGCAGCACATTTTTGCTTGCACTTTTTCCCCATGTCACGCGCAAGTGATGGTCCCACACTGAGTAAACACCCTCTTGCTCCGCCAGCTACTGTAGACACTCCACTCTCACAACAGGTTGGAAAGATGGGTCTGAGCAGACTGCTCTCAATAAAAACATTGAATGTTTTGAGGCTCGATGTTTACATTTTTTGTAGGAGTTAAATGAATTGCATACTAAAAGTAGTCAATGAACCATAAACTGGATTAGGAGAATGTATTTTAACATTAAGAAAAAAATTTAAATTATTATAAAAATTACTTGCATACTTCACCTTTAAACAGAAAGGAAACCACTGAGGAATCTGCAGACCATCTCTGATTCAGATCATTAAATCAAGTCCTACTACACACAGACACATATCCAGTTATAAATATACAGTTTATGATTTTATAATCATTTACACATTTAATGTACTACTGAGCTAGAAAGTTAATTTAAATCCTATCTCTAAATGGCTTTATTATTCTTATTGATTCAAGGCAATAACTTAAAGTTTGTACTGTATTTTATATATGAAACCGTATATGTACTTGTTTTGTTTTTTCTTTGTGTGATCTCCCAGATCCTCAATCAAAATATTAAATCTCTCCCACAGAACTTTTTGTTCTTCGTTCCATTTAATGCTACTATGTTATTAATGCACCAATAATGGCACCAGGCACAGTTGTAAATATAAGTTTCAAAACACATGGAAGTATAAATGACAAAGGTCTTTGATATAAAAAAAAAGTTGTACACAGTCATGCTCAAAAGTGTACATACCCCTTGCAAAATGTTAATTATTTTTATTGATTTAGTACTGTCCAGAAAAGAAATGTTTACATATAGGCACATTAACACCCGCCAAATGCGGGTGGATTTCAGTGTTGGCATGTAACGCATTCACTCCGACTAGCTACTTTGGCCGGTTGAATTTTATATAATATACATAGATTAATTTGGGGTGGAGTGCACCGATGCACAGCTCCACCTCCTGATGTCCACAACACACCCTGCCGGAGCTCAGCTCCGTCTCCTTGAGCACCAAATATATTCATTTTGTTGAGTGTATATAATGAAAGTTATGAAATAATTGGCTAATATTAACTCGAATTTGGTGCTGCAATGATTCGCCCATCGCAACGATATCTGACCTTCTCATCTGACCTGCTTCAGCACTCACCCGCTCATCAGTGTCAAAATGAGTCCAATCAAAGCAAGTGGGATTTATGTTCACAAAGTGCAAGCCGAGTGCGAACCCCAACATAACGCTTGTTGAAGATTTTATTATTTAGAAAATAAGTAATTTAGCTATATATTAGGATACTATTAGGTCGTGTGTGTGTGTGCGTGTGTGTGTGCGTGTGTGTGTGCGCGTGTGCCTTTGGGTTTGACATTTTGAAGCCTGAAAGGCCCAAATGCTGATAGAACAGAGAGTGCTATTTCAGTATGTCACATGGTACAAGGTATTTCTCAAAATATCTATAGAATGTATTACCATTTTTGGAAAGGATGAAGGTATATATTGAGAAGCTAAAGACTGAACTGGAGCGGCTTTTCTGCAGAAGGCACTCGGCTTTGTGAATAAAGTCTAATATTTCTGGCATCAAAGATCTCTGAGAAATCATTTCAAAAAGCTGGGAATGCAGCAACAGTGCTTGCTTATTCAGCCCAGCTTCCGGATGTTAGATACAGTATGTACTTGTTCTGTAATTAGTGTTGTTGATGGTAATACCAAATTAGTAAAATGTAAAGACAGCTATGTCCAAAGATTCTGGAAATCAATAAGGTTAATTGGTCATTGAAGAAAGATATTGTCTGTTTTATAAAAGGAAACTATGGGTTGAGATAATTTCCCTGGACAAGTGTGACCAAAGTAATCAAAAAACCTTGTGAAAACAACTTAGAATATTTTGACCATTTTGATGCAGCTTATGAAAATTAATGTGCTGCCAATGATAATGACGAAGATTATGATTTGGGCTATTTGATTGAATCCACCATTGGTGGACTGTAAAAGAATACAGAGAACCACCGAGAAGGTGTTTGAAACTGTGATAGAAGTGTCTACATTTCTGGTGGTAATAATGTGGGTTTGAAATTAAATCAGTTTAAATGACGACATTAGCATTTTCGTCTGAGATTGAAGGCTTAGGTGAATCCTTTTAAAGAAAAGATCTATGATAGTAATTTTATAAGAATGGTAAAATTAATGACTAATGAATATATATAAATATGAATAAAAGGATGATTGTGTTTTAATTAAACATTTTAGAAAGGGTTATGTAGAGACACTAATCTCGTGGATGATTTATAATAACTGCACCAGATGTATTACAAGCAGAGAGTGCTAGCCTTGTCAAGGTTAATGTAAATTATACTTAAATATTAGTTAAATATGAAACATTATTGAGAACTAAAATATTTTTTTGTATTTAAGATCAAATAAGCAGACGCAATACTGGGGCTCGTAGTCTTCGTACCTTGCTTAAAACATCCGAGATCAAATGAGACATCCAAGATAATGTCATCGTGCTAATCATGATCCGGCTAATTGGGTTCTTCGAACACACCTGTTGTTTATGATTAGTATCGCTGGACTGAGTTATCTGAGATAACTGCGCGTTCTCGCGTTGGTTTAAAAGGGGACATGTATCGATAGCAATAGCAGAACCAGTGATCAGCAACGCTGCTATTGGCTGTTCAGCATGGCCCAAGAACACGCCCAGCTTTTCTCACAAGCAGAGCAAACGCTTTTAATGCAAGGTTATGCCGAATTTCAGTCTTTAATTAAAACACCAGGAACACCTCAAAGTGTGCAAAAGTCAGGAGAGAGTGCTGGAAAAAGTAGAAGACAAATGAAATGCGTTTGTGGTGGCCATGTTAGATGTTTTAATAACAGAAGGTATACTTGAGCTTCTTTTAGAGCTCTAAAAGAAGGTATACTTGCAGAGCATATTTGGCCTGTGTGAGTCGCGGGCTCGTTCCTCGGCCCGTTCGTATGGCGCTCGCTTTGTGTCATTCGATTCCTAGCCAAGCTTAAAGAGTAACTAAACCCCTGGTCAGAGCCTGACTCCACCCACTAGCAATATTTGAAAAATGCTGAAAAAATGGGCAGACCCCAGCGGGGCCATGGGGCGTGCACCTGAGACCCGCCGTGAGTGACAGCTGCTGTCAGACTCTAAAATAGAGCGAGACTGGAGTGACGCAAGTAGCTGCCTTTGCAACAGAGCGGACATTTGAAGTCGAGGACTTTTCTCCCTCACCCTCACCTTCACCTGAAGTGGATGAGGGTGAATTGTATGTAGACACAGGGCCAAATCCATTCGAGCCGCTGGCTCAAACTGCGGTCTTAACTCCCGCATCGCGACATCTGGCATCTGATGAGTTTTGTCGTCGAGTTGATCTCAATAGCGTGCGCTCTGTGGGCATATATTCATATTTATATTCTGCCGCTATGTGAAAAAATCCAGCAAAATACACCGGCTCGTTTGTCGACCCCAGAGGATTAACTTTATCCTAACCATAAATTGTGATTAAAATATCCATGATCACTCACATCAAGACGCCGCTGCGGTGGAGGAGTCCATGCAGGACGAGCAGTGTTTGGCACTGCGTGTGCAGCTGTGTGGAGAAGCCCATGTCCACCTCTATTCCGTTACTATCCTGATCACTGTACTAAACACTGATAAGTCTATGCTAACTTGAAGCTATCCTAACCGTACTATGCTACTAGCTACACAAAATAATCTAAATTATCTATATAATGCTATGCTAAATAGATGCAACAATACTCTATCCTGATTGTTTTCATAAATAACTATATAAATGCTATGCTAACTAGATGCTAATATATGCTATCCTGATCGTTTTCAATACTCATAAATCCAACTCCTGACTCGCTACAGTAGTTTTGACGGAACCAGATGCTTTTATACCAGGGGCTGCCAAGGGCGTGGTGAGCTCGCACCAAGGGTGTGACAGAGTGCGTCTGAGAGTTCGCTACGTCAGAAAGTACCCCTACTGCAGGAGCTTTCCGTTTAACCTGAAGAGGGCAGCACTCAGACGTTTTTACACCATATATTTGAAAATCAAAACACTTTATACTCAATTGTCAAAAAATGTACTCGAATCAATGAACAGCATTTATGAAGCTCCATTCTTACAGATCATTAACTAAAAAAAGTTGTTTTGGTGTTTAGTTACCCTTTAAAGACGTGTTAACGTGCGTGTGGAGAACGTCTGTACGTTTTAACGACTGACTGCCTATCTGGACGTCTGCCCGTCTTAACGTCTGCCCGTCTTAACGACTGCACGTCTTAACGTCTGGAGCTAGGCTATCTCCATTCAGCTTTTTTTAATTATTATTATTCAGCCAATGACTGAATGGCGATCCGTCTTAAGTTGTGGGTTTCTATCGTTGTTAGGACTATGTTGTAGCCTAGCTCATTTCGTTTTCATATAAGGGGGCCAAGTATTTTTTTATTATGATCTGAGAAACAGACTTCTCACCAAAACAACGTAGGCCTATTATTACTGAAGTAGCTAGATAGTCCATCATACAAACTAGACCACAGCATTATAAATATAATAATGTTTCAATGTTTCGTTTTGTGTAATAAAGCATATCCTATAGCATAGCCTATCTTTCTGACAGGCCGAGGGTGAACCAAGACGCTCTTCCCATTTAAAAACAAGCTTCAAGTTACTTTTCACGTAACTGTCCGCTCAATATCCGCTCAGTTTCACATTTGTCTAAATATTACAATAGGCTTTTGTTATTTAATTTTCATTTATGTTGATTATGAACAGTGAACAGCATGAGTAAGAGCAACATATAGGATGCGATATGACCGGAGACAAGTGGGTCAGACATGATTTTGACCACTTCATTAAGTTTTGTTTTGTAGAAAGACTTTCTTTAAAGTGAATTTCGTTTTGTATCAATTATGCACGAGCATTCATGGGAATAGGCTATACAGGCTAATAATAATACAAAAAATATAGATATAGTAGAGTGGCAGTGGGTGGAATTATATTCTGAAATTCTATGTTATAAAAAAATCGTTATAACGAGTTGTAGCCTAAATCCCGAAATAAAGGAGCTCGGCCAAACAAATATGAAACTACTAATTATAAATATAAAACCGCCAGTAGATGGCGGCAAGGCACTGTTCTATTGACATTACTGGTTAATGTTCAAACTATTCTTTCAAAAAAACAAAAAAAAAAGAGGCTATATATTTAATATCCACAGAACTACTCCTTTAAGACAATTGCAATTGTTCTGCTGTGGTGATGTTTGGAACAATTTTTTATTTTTTTTAGTGTGAAATGTCATTACCATATAGTTTATTTACAGGCATTCTGGTTTTCTAATGATTTTTTCAAAAGCTAAAGACTGCTCATTACAGAAATATTAAAATAAATATTTACAAATGTGTTTTTTACTTGGTATTTTTTTCTCAACTTTTGGTCTCAATTGGCAGTTAATTGCGGGTTGATATTTTCCTAATTATGTTACCCAGTTAAACATTATGTGAATTTAAAGTGACTGCGTTATAAATTGAAATATAGCTAGCCTAAATATATATGCCGTTATTGGTTCCAATGACATG